AAAAAAAAAAAAAAAAACTCACTGCCATTGAGTAAGCAGTGGTTATTTGCATTGAATTGGGGACTAAAACAGAAAGTAAATTATAATAACATTGTTTTTTCAGCTCTTAACTAGCTCTTAATCAAATAAATAGCTCTTAATTAAAAAAGAAAAGATCAAAACATGAATTAATTTCTAGAATTTTAAAAAAATAATTCTGTGCCTGTCATAGTGATTCACATACCAGCAAAACCAGCTGCCCACCCATGAACATCAAAGCAGAATTGTGGTCCATAGGGTTTTCAATGGCTGATTTTTTTAGATGTTAATTTGCTAGGTCTTTCTTCCCACACACCTCTGGGTGGAATAAATCCTCCAACATTTCAGTTAGCAGCTGAGCATGTTAATTGTTCACACCACTCAAGGACACCATGATGTACATAACCAAACTCACTGCTGTGGAGTCCATCTGACTCATAGTGACCCTCCTTGGGTTTCTGAGGCAGTATCATCACGGAAGGAGCCTGGTGGCATAGTGCCATAGGTATTTGACTGCTAACCAGAAGGCTGGCTGTACAAACCTACCAGCCACTCCTGGGAAGGAAGATTGGGCAATCTACTTGGGTAGTGATACAACAACAACAACACAATGCTCTGCCGTGAAGTCGGATTCTACTCATAGCGGCCCCTCCTCAGGTTTCCCAGGCACTATCACTATGATTAGCAATCTGGTTAGCAGTCAAACACCTTGGGCACTACACCACCATAATTTGTATCCTATAGTATTGCACTAAAGAGCCCTGGTGACACAACAATTAAGTGCTCAGCTGATACGTAGGTAACTGAAAGCTTGGCATTTGAACTAATCCAGCAGCTCTGAGAAAGAGCTGGGAATAAAGATTACAGCCAATAAAACCATATGGAGCAGTTCTACTCTGTCAATGGGTCATTATGATTCAGAATCAACTCAACAAAAAAGCACCTAAAAACAACAGTATTACGCTTATTTTTATGCCTTTTTGTGTCATCAGTAGAGCTCTCCCAAACTGAATTTGGCTTGACCAAGTGACCTTACTTTTTTGAACTAAGCAGGAGCAAACTTGACAAAAGTGGAAGCTTGACAAGTTTTTGGTATACAAGTTTACTTTCTGCTCTTTTGACTTCACCATGAGCACAAGTCTAGGCTAGTGTACTGGAGGATCGGAAAAGGGTGGAGCAGAGTTGCATCAGCCTGGTCGGCTCATCTGAGGCCTCAGACATGTCAAAGCCCCAAGCCATGTTGACAAAAATCACCTAAGCTACCATAGACTCGTAAGCAAAAGTAATATTTTTTATTATATGCTAAAAGATCTTGAGTGGTTTGATATGCAGGGTGATTGTTACCACAGATAACTTATTTAAGCCAAAAAACCAAACTCACTGCCATCTAGTGGATTCTGACTTATAGCGAACCCCTTTGGGTTTCCAAGGCAGTGACAGAAGAAGATTGCCCAGTCATCCTTCCATGGAGTAGCTGGTAGGTTTGAACTGTCAACCTTCTGGTTAGCAGTCAAATGCCTGTAGGCACTATGCCACCAGAGCTCACTTATTTATACCTCGAATAATACAATTTTATCTTCAGAAAATTATTTAAGATTACTCCAATGACATATTACTCCATATTATTAACTCATAAAATATTTAGTCTTTCATGATCTATTATCTGTTATCCTCATTCAGAAATAGAAAAATATTTGACTTCTACATGTATAGATAACTGTTGCTCCAACAGTTTTTAAGTGTTCACTTGTCAATTATTATCCATTATAATCTGAAAAAACAGTAAGTTATTTCTTTGACTTCCTTCTGAAAGCTAAGAGAAATATGTATAATTTGACTTTTTTCCTGCTAACTATTCCAAAAGGCCAGGAGCTCTGGTGGTGTAGTGTCTAAGGCATTTGACTGCTAACCAGAAGGCTGGTGGTTCAAACCCACCAGCCACTTCTCAGAAGGAATCTACTTCTATAGTGATACCACCTCGGAAACCCAAGGAGGGGTGACTGTGAGTCAGATCCGACTCTATGGCAGGGAGTTTGTTTTTTTTTTTTGTTTGTTTGTTTGTTTGTTTTACTCTAGAAGGCCACAGAAAAGTCAGATAGCTAACAACATTTCTTCGAGTTAAACAAGATCTTCAAAAGTAAAAGCAATCTCCTTACGTAAATTAAATCTTACTTTTCGAAAATTGTCTTTATTTTGATATAGAAGAAGCAAAACAAACAAGTAAATTAGCAAACAGCTGTTAGAGAGATATACATGTATATGTGAGAGAGAGAGAGAGAGAGAGAGGAGAGAAAAGAGAAAGAGAGAAAGAGAGAGAGAGAGAGGGAGAGGAAGAGGGAGAGGGAGAGGGAGATGAAAGAAAAATTAGAAATAAATCAATAGGAGAAGCCTAATGAATACATAGGAGCTCTGGTGGTGTAGTGCTTAAGACATTTGACTGCTAAACAGAAGCCTGGAGGTTCAAACCCAGTAGCCACTCCTCGGGAGGAAGACTGGGCAATCTACTTCCATGAAGATTTATTGTCTCGGAAACCCAGTGGGGGTCATTATCAGTCAGAATCCACTCAACGGCAGTGGGTTTATTTATTCCTCGGAAAGAAGGTACAGCAATCTACTTCTGTAGTGATACTGTCTCAAAAACCCAAGGAGGGGCCGCTGTGAGTCAGGTCTGGTTCCGTGGCACCTAACAACAACAATGACTACATAGGCATTTGTTTCACTTACCCTCTGTAAAACAAGCTTCAGGTTCGAGGGATTCTTCAGGTTCAACCTCAGGTTTTTCTCCTTCATCCGGAGCTCCTATATCAACTGTGCTGCCTTCAGATGAACTAGTTGCATTTAGCTTCTGCAAATCAGAAAATCAACCCCACAGAAAAACTTTTAACTATTTTCTTTAATCTATAACATACAAATTAATCAGGCGTGCCCCCAAGTCTTCTGAATGCATTTCCTTGATCTGTAATTTAAGAATGACTTAAATGTAATGCCAATCCGCTTTGGTAGAGGTGGCAGGTCACAAGATTAGATAATAGCACCACAGTTTATATCTTTTCTTTTTTTCTTTAAAAGTGGTGCTAACAACTTAAATAATTTTCCAATCCCATTTATAGAGCTTTTAAAATAAAATCCTACAGAACACTTGCATAAGCAGTAAGAATTACATGATCCTTTGTGCTTTTAATTTTGTATGTTAGTTTACAATTGGTATAACTTGTTTTATTCTAAAATTGTGACCCAACCAAGGAAAGCTGCACAAGTGTATTTTCATGTCAAATGCAGAAAAGATTTGATCAATGCACATAAACAGCAACAAATTTATCCACTTTTCATTGACATGAAAACATATACTACCAGTTGTTATTAAATATCATCTATAGTTTTCTAATTCCAGAAGAGCAGCACATTGTTAGCTTTATAGCAAGAGCTGATAGTTTGCATTCTCTTTGGCCAATGCACTCCTCTGTTTCATTGTGCATTTGGAAACTACTTGTTACATTGGCACTCTTACCTGTCCTATTAGTACAGACAGAAATGAATCTTTGGCTGTTTTTTTTTTGTTGTTGTTGTTTTGTTTTCTTTTAGCGTAAATCATATGTCACCAAAAGAAAAATGTAATAGAAAGGAATAAATCTTAAAATGGAACAAACTCTAGCCAGATCAGGTCATTCTTGGGATCAGAATAAATGTAGGGATCCCCGTCTTAAATCTGATCTTACAATGCTGCAGAAATGATGCAGGGCCAGGTGTGAGTGCCACACAAAATCAGAGTAGTTTGGGCCACAGCATTCTTGGACCTATTACAATGTTATTACCATTAATGCATAACATTAGGAAATGGCTGAGCTGAAAAGAGCTACTTTATAAAGGAATGAGGTAAGCACATGATTAAAATGCACATTAAAGTCTGTTGAACTCCTAAAAATGGATGCTCTAGTCAGTAGTGAAAACACTGTATTCATATTTTGGCTACAGTTAGACGATTTTCTCTAGGAAGATAGTGTCTTTATTTTGTGGAAATAATGTACTTTATATAAAATATGTACTTGGCATAGTCGTACAGATGAAGTGAAAATATTTTTCTATGAGTTTTATGAGATTGAAATGCTTTTGCATCATGGGATTTAACAATATCAACAACAGAAGTGTAAGTATCAGATACTTCTTCCTCCTTAGAACTAATTTCAGGATTATTTTTTCATTTTTCCAAAACAATTAAATCAAATGCCACATAAGGTGCTTGAATATTATTGATTTATTTTTCTACTCACTATTTATATCAAAACACTAGTCAGATAATCATAATATTTTTGCCATTAAAATTTGAATCTTTTTTTCCAAAGGTGCCATATCAAAGGAAAAAGAATTATTACAAATATTTTAATATTTTCTTATTCTTTGTCTTTGGGTTAGACTCTCATAGATAACTATAGCTGTATTTAAATGCATATAATTGACTAAGAAATGACTAAATCATCCTCTCTTTCTAATCCATTTAACTCTCATGATGATATTATTTAGAAGGAACCTGAGAATACTGATCTTGTCATTGTAGGATGCTGAAACAATAGATAATGAGAAAGATTAAATGTAATCACTTTGATAAAACTATAGAAAGCCCACAATAAGAGACGAAAAACATTTCTTTTAGGAAAAAGGTTCATATTGCAAACATAGAGTGGTGAAGGAGCAGAGGGTGGGCCCAAGGGAAAAGAAAGAGGACCCACAGTGAGGGTGCTCCACACACTCAGGCTGGCAGAGTATGACTGTTTCAGAGTCTAGATTAGTTCTGGGTATGTTGTAGGTGCTTGATAAATATTGCTTAAAAAATGAAGGGATGAATGAATAAATGGCTTCATAACAGAATGAAGGCTAGACTTTGTCAGTGATTGGGAGAAGTCACTAGACAACATGTTCCAGGGTCTCTTGGTTCAAAATGTTCAGAAGGCCCCAAAGAATTATTGTGACACTATTACTACTACTGCAGGTAGCTGGATTGATAATAATTTGAATGGCTTTAAGAAAACCTGGGTCATCATGATCATTCTTTTCTTCACTATCTTTTACAACAATCAAACTTCCCCTCATTAAGCTTCTCTAACAAATCTGGATTCCTAATTTTCCTCACCCCATCTTCACCTCACAATATGCACCTTTGTTGTTCATGATTTTTATTGTAATTTATCATTTATTTTCACTTTATTAAAATGTGGGTTTGTATATTCACAGTGTTGCAGACATTTTAATTCTAGTCTCCCTAATGTGCTTGTAAATTCTTTGGGGGAAGGAATCATGCATTTTAGCCTCTATAGATAACACAACAAACATATTCCAGCCCTAGAAGCAGACTATACTCCTACCATGTTTTCATGTAGCATTAAACATTGATTGAATGAATGATTAGGCAAGGAGTCTATTTTTAATAGAGTGTTCAAATGTAACAATTCAACATAGAGTTTCATCCAAGATTAAAATGAAAAAAATGTCAGCCAGGGTTTGGCATACTTGGCTAAAAATGAGACTCATCTAGGAGTTTTTTAAAAAATTGCTATTTACCTTTTACCTTTAGAAATTCTAATTATAAAAGGTACTTCTTTATTTTCTGTTATTTAAATCATATTAAAAATAGGAAAATGAATATTATTCCCATATGCTTTAGTAATGATATAGAATCAATGCATACATTTTACCTTGAAGACAAATATTTATCCAATGAAAGATCAGATTATTAATTTCTCAAAAATTCAATATCAACTAGTACATTTTGTTTATCTAGAAGATATATATCACTAGACTTGAGTTTTTGATGCAAAGAACATGCTTTTGCCATCTTGTATCTCTAGTCTTATTGCCAATGTTCATATTTAATATAGCTGGTTGTGTTTAATAAATGAATGACCAATCAGTGTATGGACTCTTTAATTCCACCATTAACTATTTTTAATAACTCCTATCTGATCCTTTCCTCTCACATTGAAAGGAATGCAAGTAATATTCTTTCTAGGTGGAGAGGAACACAAATCTTTTGAGATTCTGAGTTTGTAAGCCATGAGCAATAAGTCTAAGAATCGGGAGTGCCACCTCAAGCCAGGCTCCCAAGTACTCAGAATTGAGATGAGTCTATGAAGTAAATTGGAGCTTAACTCTGGAATCAGGAAAACTATTACTGAATCATTGTGATACTGTTGCCCCTCCTTCCAGTCTGATTGTTTGAATCTATAGGCCCAGTGGTGAACAGACCTCTTTAAGAAGCAGCAATCTCAATGCTTCTTCATTCTTCCTCCTGAAGTGGGGCAGCACAGGGTCTACCTGTCATTTCTATTTCAGTAAGTGAATTGACTCAAAAGCAACTAACAACAGCACAACACACTTCTGGTACTTGAATTACAAATAAAAAAATGACCTAAGCCTCACATTAATCTTCAAACATCAGCCAATACAGTGTCTACTTTAGAGGAAAAAATGTGGGTTCAATTATCTTGTTGAAAGTCACACTGAGTCAGTAGCTAGAACCTAAGTCTTCTGCACGCCATCCTGCCATGTTCACTAGAGAATTTTTTGATGATTCATAAGTAAACACAACCTTTGTAATTCAGCATTGGAAGCTCAAGACAATGCTTAAGTTTTCATGATTCCTGATCATTAGCTTCAGTGTTAATTCAAGTCATATTCATAATCCTCTTATGTAGGGTAGAGCTACACACACACACTGAAATATTTCATGAACAAAAATGTTCATACAATAATCCTGAGATTTAGGAAATAAATTTTGATTTACAAAGTGTTTCCTGATAATATCAATTTGCCTTTCTTAGAATGACATAATAGACAACCATCACAGTATTATGAGATGTTAACTTGAAAAGTTAGAATGTGTGAAGAGTCCAAAAAATGTCAAATGAATCAAATTAAGAATATAAATATCTTCAGCTTTAGATAAGGTCATAATTACAATCAATCTCAACTGCAGTGCAAATTCACCAATTAAAACTGTTGACTCTACATCATTTTATGGAACTCATGCACTTAAAGAAGAATTTTCAAGTAAGGGCTGCTTGTAAATGCTCCAATCTGGGCATCATTCACTGAAGAATGCCATATGAATAAAAGACCAAATTATGAACTGCTTAGAAATAGAACCAGTTTCACAAGTTCCCCTTTGTAAAATTTGGATCTTTAGGTTCCCTTTTTATTACATGTGTTTATTTACTGGGAAACAAGTGAACTCAATTATGTTGTTACAGTGGCCCTTCCTGAGGAAAACTTTAGCAAAGCATAAGTTACAATATTAGGATGTTAAAGATATCAAGCAGATTGCTAATCGTCATTTGCTGTGGATTAGCAATCCTTTATTTACCTTCAGGTGAAAATTTTAGTTGAAAAATTTATTTTGGTGTAAATCTCCCACTAGAGGACTCTACCCATTGAATAGCTGGGATACTTTTGAAGTGCTGAATAATTATAGTCATGTTAATTGAGCAGAGTAGAATCGTATTTTGCTTAAAGATATAATAAGTAAACATCTAAGCCCACATTAATTTATTTTGGATTTTGAAAGGTTATACTTCTATCCTTTAGTTTCCACATCATTGATAAATTACTATTAAACATCAGCATGCCAAATTAATGCCTTCATTTATAAAGTACATGTATTTTTTAAAAATAATCACAACAGAAAAAGGGAGAGAAAACATCACTTTCTATTCAGTTTTTCCATACTTCTTATAGTCACACTTGTTTCTTATTATGATATACTATCTTTTTTAAAAAAAATGTAACTAGTGAAGACTATATATAATTTTGTGGGAAAAGGTATATACCCTAACCTGATTGAATAAAATTGTGATT